TTTTTTTTTTTTTTTTTTTTTTTTTTTTTTTTTTTTTTTTTTTTTTTTTTTTTTTTTTTTTTTTTTGTCAAATTAAAATTTTAATATTTAAGTATTTAATTATTTTAAAATTAATATATGTACGGGCATAAAATTAAAATTTTAGGTTTTATTAAACATCTAATTGAAATTTATTGTTGAATTATAAACTTATTTAGCTGAGTTCAAATTAATAAAAATGTTAGAAATGCTAGTTTATGGTTCTTCCCTTGGCTTAATTAACTGAATTTATTTTTAATTTTATAAAATATACATTTTTCCTACAAAAACAATTATACGTGCATATAAAATAATAATAATAATTTTAGTAGCCAACGGTCATAATTTCGAATCTCTTTATTTTATAATAACAACCACGACACAGCCATAAATTTAAATTTCTTTCCTTTGTTTTCAAAATAATAATATTCATACATTTAAATTTATTTATTATTTATTTTAAATTTTCAAATATAATGTTATATGTAAGTATTGTTTAAGCTATAACTTTTTCGTTCGTTTTAGTCTTGATTTGAGTGATTCCAAAGACTTTTTCGTTCGTTTTAGTCCTTATTTGAGTGATTCAAAAGACGTTGAAATTGTCATTACAAGCTTTATGCCCTGAACACTTCAAATCACTCAAATTATTAGTAATTAAGAATAAGTTTGAGTTTGTTATCATCAAGAATTAATTTGACATTAAGGGTCAAAAGTCCAACACCTAATAGTCCTCGTAGCTATCTACTGAAAATGTTATACAAACTCTTGCCAGTCGAGTTGAGTCGAGTTCACAATTAAGGATTAGCTAACGAAACTTTAATTGTTCCTATGTACGTACACATATCATGCATGGCTAATATCCTCAATTGAGACATAGGAAAGTAAATTAATCAGGGGCGTCTAATTATACTTTCGTTTGATTCAATTTCGCATAATAATCATTAAAATTGAAATTGGTTGAGGAATATTTTGAAAACCTCATTTCTCAATCTTACTCTAACGATGACCCGTCTCCTTAAGTTAACGTCAATTCCTTTTTTGACCTGTGGACTTCCTTAAGATGAACCTACCGAGTCAAAAATCAAGCCAAATCATCAATAAACAAAAGTGAATTAAGTTGGAGAACACATTGAGTTGAAACTCAAATCTCACCTCTGAAGCGATTGCGCATTTGTCAGAATCACACGAGATTGCACGTTTGGACAGTCCAGCTAAACTATCTTATCTTTCATTGCCGACACTCCCTGATTTCTTATATATATATATAATAAAATAATTTTAATTAAAGGATACTTGTTAATTTGTAATTATTCTAAAAGTGAGTAGAAAGTAACTTCATCTTCAATTTAAAATAAAAATGATCTTAGCTATTAAAAATCACAAAATAGAACCAAATATTAAAATGATTATACAATTCTACCCCTGTTCTTTATATGAATTACAAAAGTGACACTCAGCTATGGTTCTGCTCTACGTTGTGTAGCCCAATTGCGCACTATTAAGGCCAACAGCCCAGTTGTTTAATGTGGCCCATTATTCACTTGCGAAAAGCCCCAAGAAGCCTTTTAGGGTTCTAAACGGATGGGCTTTTCGGCCCATAAAAGGTTTAAATTAATAAACCAAAAATATCCTTACATTTTTAAACTTTTTAATAATATCCTGATATATATATATATATATATATATATATATAAATTTTTATTGGTTTTGGATGGAAAACATTAATATTTTGTTTAAAAAATACTACCGAACTCTCAAATTTTTTTTTTCAAAAATACCCTTTAAAGTTAAAAAAAATATCATTACCGTTAGAACTACATCTCAAAAATACTCTGTAAACTTTTAAAAATAACATTATAAAGTTTGGAGATAATATATGAGATGTAGATAGATCGTTTTCATCAATATATTGACGGTAATAATTTTTTGAACTTTTTTATTTGAATTTTTTAATAAACTGAGATCATATCTAAATGAGAGTAATTGTTAAGATAGGATGACTAAGAAAAGTTCAAGCAAAATAAAACTTATTACCTATACCAACAAGTAATGCATAAGTAACATAACCATGTCGTAAAAGATGTAGTAGAATGTTGGAGCCATTACGTGTCGAATCCAAATTCCAAATCCTGGGCATAGGTCGAGACAAAGTATGCTAGAAGAACTCATATTGATCTGTGGAAATAGTTTTCACTCTTAGATATAATGAGTAAGCAATATTATCATGTTGAAACCATCATATGCCTAATTTGAATTCTAAATCATGGACGTGGGTCATTACATTGTTACTTTAAACTATTAATTCTATCAAATTACAGTCTGAACTATGACAAATGTTTCAATTTTCCGCTCAAATTTTAATTAGTGGTTCAATTTATACCTTAAGATAGGCGCTCGTTCAAGAAATCGTAGCAAAAAATATTTTCACGAGTATGCAATCGATAGGATCTAGAAAGATAACTTTTTTATTTTTTATTTTTGAAAATAAAAGTGAATAAATTGTAAAATTAAAATCCACACTATAGGGTATGGAGGGGGTGAGTGCAAGGTAAGCATTGTTTTTATATGAAAAAGGCTAAGCAAACAAAATTGAAGTAATTTAGAGAAACTCTCCAAATATATTAGCACAAAAGAAAACTTAACAACCACTCGAACAATATTTTCATTTTTAAAAAAACTTAAAATTTTAAATTAAAACACTAAAGAACCTTGGAAAATAGGAATAATATGTGTAATATTTTAAATAATAATAAATAAATACTATAACCTAAAAAAGGCTAATTTATATTAATTATGAAAGTCGATCTATATATATATATATATATTTTCCAAGGAACGACCTAAATCCCTGCAAGTTCCCGATGTTACAAAGAGGGGCTAACTAGCTCCTTGACAAATAGGAGGAGGTCGAGGAGGTCGAGGCCAATTAGATAGGTCAACTAGCTTAACTTAAAAGTTCAACGGTGGTTTATAATGATGAATTAGAGGTGAACGACTTAAATAAACACCTCAAACGAGTCCAAGTTCATGAAATATTTGATCTCTCTTTAGAGACCTGTTAATTGAGAAAATTAATAATTAACAGAAGGATCATATGCGATTCGATCTTAATACGGAATGAATTATGAACTTTTGTTTGCGAGATATTGTTCTTTGATTTGCATGAGTGAGAATGATTTTTGTAGCCGATTTAATATGCCTACTATTTTGGAGACTTTGGAGTCATTTGTTCGACATTTGAGGATTTATCAATCTATTGACACGACTAAGTTTAGGGCATGGCTCTGATACCATGTTAGACGAACACGACTCTCCACAATGGTATGATATTGTTCACTTTGAGCATAAGATCTCATGACTTTACTTTGGGCTTCCTCAAAAGGCCTCACCCCAAAAGGTGTCACCTCAATGGAGGGGAAGTAGATGAGTTGTTCTTTTAAGTGCTAATTTTAGGACTTGAACAATGGGGTTTCAGCCTCTCACGTGAGAGATTTCGTTTATGGTTGAGTCATAAACAAATTGTTCACTAGAGAATGAGTGATACTTAAGGTATAATATGTGAAACCGAGTAAGGAAGGAGTATATGAATAAACTAGCCAACATTTGAAAGAGAGCTACCCTACAAATAGGATGACTAAAAAAACTTAAAAGAATTAAAAGTCACTACCTATACTAACAAGGTATACGGTCTTTTTCAGTGGTTTAATCATAGAAATTTTATGGTTATGCGTGCTTTATTTAGAGCAATCCTATGTCTGGTGACCTTTTAGAAATTTTACTAGAATACATGTGAGTAAGGACAAAACATGTTGGAAGGATCTAGATTGGTCTACGGGGATAGTCTCTACTCTTAAGATGCGATGATATATTGGGTGACCTCCTAGAAATTTTCTTGTGAACCATGTGAGTGAGGACAAAATATACCGGAAGGACTCATGTTAGTCTTTAGACATAGTCTTCACGCTTAAAAATCGAGGAGTACATAGCGTGAACCTGTCGCAAGGGATGCAAGGGAATGTCAGACCATTAAGTGTCAAATCTCGATTCCAAATCCTGAGCATGAGTCATTACAAATGATATCATAGTGGTACCTCTCATAGTAAAATGTGGTTTGTGGACGAAACAACGCTGAAGTGGGTGGGCATGTGACATCTGAGTATCGTAGAAGTACATGAATGAACCTAGACCACATCTGAACATGTGACAAATGAGTAAATATGCGAATGAAGTGTTCATTCCCAACATTTGTATCTCAACAAAAATGCTTCTATAGGTTATGGTAACGTGGAGCAATTTGAGGTTGTTCTGACCCAATGAAGGGTCCAAATACATCTCAATCATGATTTGGTAAAATGCAACGTTACATTTGAAGGACCTTGATCGAGATTTGATATAAGATTGATTCTTATGACTAGGCCTAGAGCAGACGCAAGTTGAAAGACAATGTGTATGGCTGAATAAATCTTCGTGACACATGACTTATGTTATGTCAACAAAGAAAGAATCTCCCCTAAGGTCCGATGAAGTCACAAAGACGAGCGAAAAAATGCAATGGTGTTTGAGCTCCCTTTAAGGATGGTCATGATCATGTATAAATAATAACAGTCTAGTTTCAAATTTACGACCGTGACACCATACAGGTCCTTGTTTCCACACATTATTAAACCTATGATATACCCAAATTCTACGTGCTAACTTATTATCAAATAAGATGAAATATATTACAATTGCAATACACAGATATAAAATATGATATATATGGTAAACTATAATGAAAAGCTAAATATTAGTCGGAATAATTTTATATCACTAAAAAAACGGTTCATATAAGAAATTAATTTAATAATTATTAAATTATACTTTAAAATCTTTAATATTTTAGACTCTTCATTTGGTAAGATGTCACTTTAACTTTCTCTTCCTTTGGTTGCCATTTGACAAATAATAGAAAAAACTTAATAATTTATTATAATTTAAAATTAAAAATAGAAATAAAATTAGCAGTCAAATTTAGAATTATTTAAAAATTGTGTGATAATTACAATATAGAATTTAGTTTTGATAAATAAGATATCCACTCAAGTTGGTCTGAATAAACATTAAAAAAATGGAAGAAATAAATAATAATAATAATTAAGGGATTAACTAAAATATTTGAATTAATTAATTAATTAATTAATTAATTAGTTTTTTAATATTAAACAAGATGAGTGCAGGTAAGGCAAAGTTCATTGATTAAGTCAAACTACTTTAGAAAAGAGAAACAAAAAAGGTTAATCTTTTTGTCTTTGCAAAATTACTTTAGGATTGTTGGTGTAAAAGTTGGAAAAAAGGGTTAAAAAGTTGTAAATATGGGTGAAGAAATTACCTCCACCTACCCGATGCTTGATACACAAGAAAATTATCTCGAAATCTGTCCTTTTTGGGCTTTCTCTTTCGGGTTTCTTGTCAAGGTTTTTTAAAACGCGTCTGATGGGGAGAGGTTTCTACACCCTTATAGAGGATGTTTCGTTCTCCTCCCCAACCGAGGTGGGATCTCACAATCCACCTCCCTTTAGGATCCAGCATCTTTGCTGACACTCGTTCCTTTCTCCAATCGATGTGGGACCTCCACCAAATCCACCCCCTTCAGGACCTAATGTCCTTCTTGGCACGACGTCTCGTGTCTACCCCCTTCGAGGATCAGCCTTCTCGTTGGCACATCGTCTAGTGTCTGGCTCTGATACTATTTGTAACGACCCTAACACATCGCTATATTATCCTCTTTGGGCTTTCCCTTTCATACTTCCCCTCAGAGTTTTTAAAACGCGTCTTTAGAGGTTTCCATACCCTATGTTTCATTTTCTTCCCCAACCGATGTAGGATCTCACGTTTTCGTTCGTAATGGAAGATCTCAAATGAGGTTATTCATGAAATTCGACGGGACAAGAAATAGCTCTGCAAGTAGGGGTGTACACAATTTGGGTTGGAAAAATCTTTTGAATCAACCTGAAATTTTATGTTCGTTAGGTTGGTGACTCGAGCAATCCAATAAAATTAGCAACCCAACCTAACCCAATTGTCCTTGTTGTTGTTTTTTTTTTTAATTATTTAGAAAAATTCTACTTATCCATAGTACATGTTATATTAATAACTAGAATATGATAGAATTGAGTTTGGTTCTAACCCTATTTTCGAGTAGGCAAAAAAATGTCAACCGAACCTAATTTTTTATTTTCTAAAAAATTCAACT